AGGCACCGTGTGTGGTCACTAGCCACCCTCCTGTGCCTAGAGGACTGTCAGGGAAATACTAGATACTTCTAAATGTTTACTGCATGATATTTGGTGGGTGATAGGTCTGCAGTGGCCACGTGGCCCATGGATTTTGGGAACTCTGGACTGGACTTGCTAAGGCTCTGAGGGGAGGCTTTCTGAGACACTGAGTAGCAGAACTATGTATTGGATTAATTACCAGAGAAGGAGGAAGTTACCTGCACATTGATAAGGGTTATGGGAATTTATTTTCTGCATGAACAGACCACAGAACGGGCAGAGGACCCCACCTGTTAATCCAGACGTCGACAACTCTGGAGGAAGCCAAGAGCTGGGTATAAAAATGGGTGGGTGTGTGATTTTGGGCTGGGGATGTGGCTCAAGTGGTAGTGCGCTCGCCTGGCATTYGCGYGACTCTGGGTTCAATCCTCAGCACCACATACAAATAAAATAAAGATGTTGTGTCTGCCGAAAACTAAGAAATCAATATTAAAAAATTCTCTCTCTCTCTTAAAAAAAAGAATTCACTTTTTAAAAAAATGGGTGGGTGTATGATTTCAAATGAATAGAAATGAGAAGTTTAGATCCTGAACATAACTTCTGCGCTCAGTGTGTTTTCCAAGTGGATTCACACTGTACCCTTTTCCTGATGAGGTTGACCTAGACACGTTTGAATGTGTGACATTTCCAGGCACATGCTGGTGCCCAGGACGAGGCCACCAGGGAGCAGGACTTCAATACTACAGCCCTGGATGATAACGTGCTCAGGAATTAGACTGCGATTGCACCAGTCGGAATGCAGGCGTCAGACGCGGTCATTCTCTGTGCCAGAAGAAAGGGCTAGGGTCACGGTCAGTGTGCATGACTACGGCAAAAGGCCACACACCACAGCTCGAGGACAGACAGACTCTTCCCACAGTTCTGGAGGCTAGCAGCCTCTGATCAAGGGCCGATGGTCTTCCTGGCTTGTAGGTGGTCCTTCCTGGTGCACGTGGGAGGAGAGGGATGGGGATGGAGATCTCATGTCCTCATAGGACACTACCCGCCTCAGGCGTGCCATCCTGGGGACTTCACTGTGGCCAAAAGCTCCACTTGAGGAATTAGGACTCCAACATATGATTTTGTGTCTCTCTCTCTCTCTCTCACACACACACACTTCAGTCCACAGCAGCTAGAAAACAATGTCTTGTTTGTGAAAGGGAAAGGTGTTCCTAGGATTTCTGCTCTGAGTCAGAAAAGGGAAGGCCGGYCTGCCCGCCCTCCTTCTTTCCTTCTGCATAAGGTTGAATCTCCAGCGTCTTCCACTTGAAATGATCTTGAAGTCAAAGTGACACGTCGGATCCCCTTCCACAGTAAGGAACAGCACCCTGCCCCTTCTCCCCACTTATCTGCATTTGTGTCTTTCTTTAATATGTGCATTCTACCCCTTGGGGCCTACTATGTRCACACAGCCTGAATTCTGCGTCCCCTGGGAATATTAAACTACAGTAGGAGAGACAAGATCAGATAGTCACAAAAACTCTTCTGTAGGCAGATGGTTCAATACTGGGTAGAGCAGGGTCTTCTTTAGAAATGTCACAGTGCTCTGAAAAAGCCAGGGTTTTGTGTACCTCTGAGGAGCCAGGTGGGATGGAGGCCCAGGTCTGTCCTAGTCCCTGGGCGCTGGTGAGGTTGCAGGCTGAGGTGGACTTGGTTCTCAGCCAAAGGCTCCAGGGACACTGTGCCTCATTCCTCAGGGCTGTCATGTGCCACCTCATGTCACTCTAGATTTTATTTTCCCCCAATCTAGCTGCTCTGTGTTGGATGTGAGGTGCCTGCAGGAGCAGGAACCGGTTTCACCAGCGCCTGGGTTTCTGTGAGGCCGGGAGGAGCAAGGTGGTGGCTAGCCAAGGTCCTCGGAGTCTGGGGGAAGGGGGCTGACAGCCTGCACCAGGACCCAGGCTTTGGCCTGGGAGGCTGGGAGGGCTGGGCGGAGGGGAGCTGAAGAGGCCGGAGCCTCTGGATCCTAGGCCCGGCCGTGCCTGCGAGCAGTTGTCTAATGATTAATGCAGAAGGTGGGGGCGCTCACCTGTGTGCGTGTGGCCCCGCCTGTGACATGACGGGGTCATTTCAGGAGGAACTTCCTGTTAGCTGGTGAGGAGAAATCGCAGTTCTGTGGCCGCCAGAGGATCAGCTCCYGCGCCCTGTAGAGAGGCCAGCAGCCTGGAGTCTCCGGGAGAGGAACCTTCCTGGCAGCCCGAGGTAGGACACTGCGCTCACGCTGCAGTTGACCCAGGCCTGCCGGGGTCTCTCCTGGGTCTCCCATCAGGGCCTGGACGTTCACCCCACCTCACGTTGGCTTTCCAGCCTCCACGGAGTTAAAAATCAAAGGGCAGGCCTGCTCGGAGGGGTCGGGATTCCCTCAGGACTCGGTGAGTGTCCCTGTCACGGGAGCTGCTCTTGGGAGCCTGGAGGGCCACTCTGCCAGGACTTGGGGAGGTCTCGGGACTTGAGTGCTGGGAGGTCCCAGGGAAGCGGTTCCTTGGGCACTTGGAGAGGCCGGTGGCTCCCCAGCGAGAAGGCCCACGTTTTGATGTCTTGGCTTTCTAAGAAGCTGGGCCCCGCCTTAGGGGCCCGCAGAGCTGCAGTCCGCAGGGTCCAGGGAGAGGCGGTCCCTGCCGCCGGGCGGTCGAGTGCGCACTCCTCCCTGCCAGGCCCCACTCGGTTCTGCTGGGGTCGGGCTTCTGGAGCTGCCTAGACCAGGACGTTCGCAGGTGCTTTTGGAAGTTACGACATCCAACTCCTCCCGATCCCTAGAGGGAAAGCCGGCTCAGACCTCTGTTCTTCCCGAGAAGGCAGCTTGGCGGTGCCTGCCAGAGTTTTCCCAGGGCTCCTCCGGCCAGTAAGGAAGGGGCAGAGGTCGCGCCCAGCCCAAATGGCCGGTCAATGCAAGACTGAAGAAGACTTTGCAGTTTTTCAACTACAAGTGCTTCATTCGGATCCTTCCATAGTGGGATGAAGGAGAAGTCCCGCCTCAGGCTGTTCAAACTGCCCCAAGCAACTTGTCTGATTTAAGTTGCACTTGAAATCCGCCGTGTGGTCCTGCCCCAACTGAACCCAGCCTCTGAGCCCTGTGTGTCCTCACCAGCCCATGACTGTAGTGACCGCCCTGGTCCTGCTCTTGGACTCCCACCATCCCCTGCACTGCCCACCCCAGACCTTGCTGGAGCATGAGACAGCCATTTTCTGGGGTGGAGAGCAAGAGAGGGGGACGGCATCTCCCAGGGGACCTTAATCCGTTGCTGCGGTTTCCGTAACTCTGGGCCACCTCCACAGTGACTGCTTTTGATAAAAACGTCTCACTTCCGTAACCGGCAGGGTTGATTTCTCCTCATTCTGTGCCGGGCCTTGCATTCCAGGTGACTGTAAAGCCATCAGCTGTCCAGTTGCGCTAATTGATCCTTGACAACTGGTAAATGATTGATGGGGCGCTGGGTGGCTGAGGTGTGGGAGTGATCTCAGAGCTGGGATTTCATTCTGGTTTGTGCCTGGCCRAGGCGAGATTTGGTGCTAAAACATTTGCTGGGTCTGTTTGAGGCCAGCGCCGGGGCCCGGCTCCTGCGGGGGAAGCGTGCCGTGAGATGTTTGAACCTTGAATTAAGGGGAGGAGTCGTTGCAGTTTTCTTTCCGAAGAGAGCAGAGAAATATAAGGCCGAGACCCCCATTCCTTCTCGGGAGCTCTGAGGACCTGTCGTGAGATGAAATGTTCACTGAGTCCCGGGCTGGAGCCGCTTGGCTGCCAGGCACACGGACCCTGGGCAAAGGCAGCCGTCGCAGCCCAGGCGGGCCTGCTTGGGGTCTCGCATTCCTGCCTCTGGGTCGGCTGTGGGGTGTGCCTTCTTAGGCCAGCCCTGGCCTGCTGTGCCCACACACTACAAGGTCCCACCACAGGGTCCCTGGTGGGACGGGCTGTGGAGTCCCCTGGGTGCTAAAGCTGAGTGAGAACCACCTTCCTCTCTGCACACCTGTGAGGGTGGGGAGGAGGGCTGGGACGCCCTAGCCCCAGGCACAGGGTGTGCTCCTGCAGGGTGGTTCCTGCCCAGGTGTGCTAGCCTTCAGCTGCCCCCAGGGACCCACAGTTCTGGCAGGTGCCTGGAGAAGGAAACAGCAAAGGCAAAGAAGCAGGTGGGGGGTGAACCAGGAGGCCATCAGGGAGAAGGGGGACTTGGAGGAAGGGTCGAGGGGTGTACATGTGGGGCCTGGAGTGCGGCTTAGTCGACCCTGACCTCCTGGACCCTGAAGGTACCCCTCACTCAGCCACAGAGCTCTAGGCTCTCTCTCAGCATGCCTGTCCCCRCCCACCCCAGGGCCTTTGTCCCTGCTGTTCCCCTGTCAGGGGAGCTGCTCCTGCAGAAGTGCACACAGAGGTTGCCTTGCTCACTCTCCTCTTAGGAGCCTGCGCTGCTGGCGAAGATGATAGCTAGACCCCGCCCCACGCACACCCTGTTTTCTCCTCACCTCTTGCACCTTCAGGAGATGACGTGATCCATTGATCTGTTTTGTCTTCTCTTCCTTTGTGAGAGTGTCAGCTCCTGGTGGGCAGGACTTTTTTCTCAGTGACTGACAGGGAGGGTAGGAAGCCACGCTGTCCCTCTCAGTGGGCTGTGCAGGGCTCGGGCTGCACCAGCTGCACCCCATCATTTAAGGGAGGGCTGGGGTAGGGTTGCTCTCTTCATCCAGTGACTCTCAAACCTGAGCTGCRTCAGAGCCCCGGGGGCTTGTGGGGATGCAGGTGGCTGGGGGCACCCCTGAACAGCTGGTCCAGCRGGGTGAGTGGACCCGAGAATGTGCCTTCCTGTCAAGTCCCCTGTGAGCCTTCTGTTTCTGCGTGGACGCCAGGAGCTGCGAGGGCTCAGGCCGTCTCTGGGTGGCAGGTGCCTCTTGGCCTGGGGTGTCACCCACTTGCCTTTCTATTCCAGGGTGAGGAAGAACATGCGGAGATGGAGGGCTGCTGGAGAGAGGTGCTGGCCATGCTGGTGGTCCTGGCTGGGCTTGCAGGTACGGTCACAGGGCTGTGGACTGGTCACTGTCTGCTGCAGGCAGGGTGGCGGGCACACAGCTGCCCCAGGGCACCTCCCAGTGCACGGCTGCCCCTGGGCCTCCCTCCCGGTGGGATGCTGTTCCTGCTGGGAACTGAACGTTGGGGCTTGGCTGAGAGTTGGGGACCACATCAGGGACCTTCCCAAGGCAACGGCACTGCTGAGATGTCTCGCTCACCCCCGTCAGTGTCTACCTGGCTTTCAAGGAAGGGGGCACAGGTGTCACCGCCTCGGGGTGCCTGTGGTTTCCAGGGTGGGTGTCCCGGCTGCCAYGCATCCCCAGGTGAGGTCCATGGTGTGACGGTGCCCCCTGGGTGTGGCTGCTCCGGGACATGGTGGACACGCCCAGGTGGAGCGGACTCGGGTTGAGGCCCAGCCTCCCTCTGGCTCACTTGAGTCTGCACGCCCCGCTTTGGTCTGGCTGGTCTTGTCTGGCTCCGAGGCTCCCGGAGGGCTTCAGCTTGTCTCCCGGACTGGTCAGATGTCCCTCGGCATCCCTACTGCAAGGACTCGCAGGCGTCACGCAGAAGGGCAGTGCGTGTCCRGGAGCGCACTGTGTCGTCCAGGTGCAGAGCCAGGGCTTTCAGGGCTCGAGCCTCTGTGCCGTCCGCTGGGCATGGGGCCTCCCCTGGGCAGCCCCCTCTTGGCCTCCCTTCGCTCCTCCCCAAAGTGGCCGCTGTTCTGACCTGTCACTGCACGGACAGTTGTGGCTGTTTTTTAGGTCCCTGTGTTCTCTATTTTGGATGCTAGACACAGCCTTCAAAAAATCTGGTCATGTCAGCATCAAAAAAAAAAAAAAAGGCGGGGGGGATAAAACAGAACAGGAAACATGGGGCGTGTTCCACGCAGCAGGGGCGCTGCGAGAGGCTTGATTGGGGATGATTTGCATGTGAAGTCTAGGGGCTCCAGACTGTGGTGGGGAACGCACTCGGGGCACAGGGACCCGGAGACCCTGTCCTCTGGCGTGAGGGTGAGTTGGTCGGAAGGTGCTTGCTGGACGTTTGTCTGCAGAGTGGAGGGGGGAAGAAAGCCCCCGGCGGGCTGAGCCCAGGGCTGGCCAGCCACCCTCAGGACTCGTTGCAGGGACACGGCACTGTGTGGGCCTCTTCTAGCCATGGCCACAAAACTCTCAAAGGTTTGTCCGGCAGTGATGAACTCTGGTGTGGATTTTCTTAGAGGTTTTTTTCCTGGTGTTGCTGAGCCTTGTGCACTGGGCTGAGGCGGGGGAATCTGGTTGATGTCTTATCTAGGAGGGCCGAATATCGCGGGCTAATTCTAGGGCCCTGGGGAGGGGGGCCCATCCTCAAACTGGTGATGAATACCAATTTGGAAATGTGTTGCCGACGCTTCACTTAGGCTTCACCTGCAGAGACCTCTGAACACCTGGGGGCAGCGACTGGGGACACCCAATCCTCCCTCTCCACCTTGCCTGTGGTAGCTCTCCTGATACGGAACTCGACCACTTGATTTATTCACTAGTAACTATGCGCAGAACTTCTGTTGTGTGCCACTTGTTTCAGGCACTGGGAGCATGGCCGGGTATAGCCAGGCATAATCCTTGTTAACACCGAGCTTAGAGTCTAGTAGAGGAACAGTATTTGAGATCCTGTGATAGGATCATTTAGCCTAAATTGGGTATTCTGAAGGTTTCCCTGGGGAGGTAGCATCTGGGTGTGGAACTGAGGAGCAAGTGAGACTGGTGTTCCAGGGTGGTCAGCATGTGTGAAGGCCCTGGGGCTGGAAAGAATGATGAGTCTGATAAACTGAAGGTCCAGTGGCCCGAGGTGGAGTTGGGGCGAATTGAAGCTGCTGTGGGACTGTGAGTTCAGTCTTCAGCATGAGTTGGTCTGTCCTAAGAGGAGAGAATCACTGAAACCAAGTCTGGGGTGTGGAGTGGGAGGTGGGGCAGGGCTGCCCGATCAGATGCCTGACTGCAGCATGGACAGCAGCTTTGCGGGGACTGGTGGTCTACGGGTGATCTCAACTCTTCCTGGGGACCTATCCCAGGGACTGAGCTGGGAGCTCACCTGCCCTGGGCCCTCCTTGTTCTGGCTCCTTTCTTGCCTTCCAGAGCTGCGTCCCAAAGCAGCACTCTCTCTGCCCGCCCCTGTCTGTCCCCTGCTCCTCCTGGGGGGAGCCCCACCTCCAGCCCTGCTTTCCCATCCATCCCCCGTTTTAAGTAGGAGAAGAGGGGATGAAGGGGCTGCAGGTGTGGCAAGGAGCCAGAGAAGAGGAGCCTGGGAAGGTGGAGGGCGGTCCACACAGGCTCCCACAACCTGAGCCAGGGAGGTGGCTGACGGCCCCTCCAGGGAGCAGAGGAAAGGCCTCCCTCCGCAGGAGTGACGCAGAGTTGAGGGTCCCTTGGTGGAGGACAAGTGGGAGCCACAGAGGCTGTGAGCGTGCTGCCCCTGAGTGTTTCACCCGGAGGGTGCCAGGCCGGGGTGAGAGGGCGGGGAATCAGGTCACTCTTGGGTGGCAGCTGGTTCTTTTCCTCAGAGCAGGAGAGCAGCCAAGGGGCCGGGGCTGGGAGCTGGGAATTGAAGAGCCCAGGGGAGAAGCTTCCAGGAGGATCAGCTGCTGCGGACGGAGCCAGGACCTGGCGTGGCTAACAGCCGCAGCTGGGCTCTGATCTTTCCCAGTTTCTCTTTGCTCTTAGGGGAGAGGGCCAGCCCAGGGAAGGGGAAGGTTCTGAGCAGAGGTTCTGTTGGTTAAAGGTCTTATTTACAGTTTTCTCCCACTCATCCTGGTGGGGCAGGCTCGCACACTCAGCTGCAGATAAGATACGAGGCCACGACCAGAAAAACAGCTTCTGACTCAGGAGGCCTGGCCCGGGGCGGTGGCTGAGGGTTCTGGAGGACTGCGGGACTGTCGGGGGAATTTGGTGCTTAGCATTTGGTCCCTCCTGTTTGTGATTTAAAGGCCCATCAAACCCAAGGGGTTTCCATCCCACACAGACCCCCTTCCCCCTCTCCCCATCCCCTCCCCCCCCACCCATCTCCCCAGCTGCACCGGAAGCCTCACCCCTGGGTGCTGGGTTCTTCATCGAGGTGCAGGCTGACTTTGGAGTGAAAGGATGTGCCCGTCCCGTGCCCAGGGCTGGGGGGAGGTCTGGGTTCAGATGGGCTTGCTTGGAATTGCCTGCTGGGCTCCCCGGGGTGGGGGCAGGCTCGGTTCCCTGGCCTCAGGGGGCACGTCCATCCCTCGTCTACCTGGCCAGGTGAGGTCAGGATGCCTGTCATCAGAGTGTGGAGCTGGGGCTGAGCTTGCTTCTTCCCTTGGGGTGAGTCTGCCCGTCCTTGAAGTGTGGCTCAGGGGAGCAGCGGGCTCCCGCGTGGCTTCCCTGGTACTCATGTCCGATTCCCGCTCTTGTGGCTTTTCACGTCTGTAGCTGAAGATCAAAGCTGTGGGCCGAGCGTCTTGCCCAGGTCAGGGAGGAGATCGACCTAAGTGTTTAAAGTCAGGCGTTGTCTCTTTTTCTGTCATGCTCCCGTCAAAACAAAGAATGGTGCCTGTTTTCCCGGACCCTGGATGGGCTTCCCGGGCCCTGACCTGCCCAGCTCTGCCCCAGCTCTGCCCTGGGCCAGCAGGTCCTCCTGGTCTCCTCGCCTGGCCTGCAGCACTTCCCTCCCTCGCGTGGTTCCCGCAGGAGGCAGCGCTGTTCCCGCAGTGCCTTCTGGGTGCTCCGTGAGGTGCCCGTGGCAACGTGTGTCCTTCAGTGTGGCTCTTCCCCAGGAGCTGCAGGGCCGCAGGGAGACTCCTCTAGAACCTGCCTGACACTCGACCTCTAYCAGGTCTGAAGGAAGGAGGGGAACTCACTCTACCTGGGACACCCAGGGCACATGGCAGGCCACCTGGCTGACTGGGGGTGGTTCCTAGGACACCAAAAGGCAACAGGAAAGTCTTGACGGAGAGAAACTAGGGTTTGGGGTGCGCCCCGGGCCAGGCTCTTCCTCTAGTGGCTTCAGAGGCGAAGAGCAGGGGATTCAGAGTGGGAAGGCCCGAGCTGGCCCAGGTCCACCACTGTGACTGCGAGTGCCGAGGGGTTGCTGGTGGACAGGGCTGGCTCCTCTGCAGTGTCAGGGAGGACCTGGTCACACCTCTCCGCTCCCAGTGGGTACAGGTGACCGTGGGTGTCTCTTGCTGGGAGGCCCAGGGCTCCATTCTCGGCCTCTATCTTCATTGGGTGGCCCTCTGTCCTTTCTCTTATAGGGGCACCTAGGATTGGACTTAAGGTCTGTCTTAAATCCAGGCTGATTTCATCTGGAGATCCTTAACTCATTACACCTGTGAAGGCCTTATTTAGAAAGGTCACATTCTGAGGTGGACCTGGTGGRCATGGACTTTTAGGGGACAGTATTCCACACAGTGCAGCCCAGGGAGGGGAGGAGACTGGAAAGGAGGATGTGGTGGTGGCCTTGTGTCCCCGGGGAGCTCCTGGTCTCCTGGGGGCGCCCTGGAGTCAGGACCAGTAAGATGGGGTCTGAGCCATGGGGTGGACGTCCATTGGGGGGCACAACTGGTAATAGAGAGGGTTACACTGCAGGGTCGACGTAGGTCCCCACCGTGAGTACCGGTTGTTTTCCAGCTCCTGGATCCGGTTATCAGATCATAGAAGGTCCCCACAATGCGACCGTCCTGGAGGGCTCCGAGGCTCGCTTCAACTGCACCGTGTCCCCCGGCTGGAAGCTCATCATGTGGGCTCTCAAGGGCACGGTGGTCCTGAGCGTCACCCCCAGGGAGCCCATCATCACCAACGACCGCTTCACCTCCGCGAGTTACGAGGACGCGGGCGGGAACTTCATCTCCGAGATGATCATCCACGACGCGCAGCCCGGCGACTCGGGGTGGGTCAGATGCAGCCTCCAGAACAGTGACCGGGAAGGACTGGCTTTCCTTGCTGTCCAAGGTGTGTGTCCAGGTGGCCCCCACGCTGGGAAGCTGCGGTCCACTGGGTTGGCCATCGGAGGGTCAGAAGGGGCCTTATGAAGTCGAGGCCACACAGGGTGGCCCTGTTCTGCCTTCGGCTGGTGTCACCCTTGCCCTTGGAGAATGTGGTGTTTGTCACTGTCCTCCCTCCCTCCCTCCCCTGTCCCCATACAGCCCGGCCTTCAGTTTGCAGGGTGTAGAATCGCCCAGAACTAATATTTACTGTTTGTTCTTCGTCTCTCTCCTCCCTCCCTCACCTCTCCCTTTCCTTCTTCTTCCCCTTTCTCCTTCCTCTGCTTTTTTAAAAAAGACTGTTGGGATGGGCTTTGTCATTCTGGTCCCTTCCTGTCTCTCCCGGCCTTTCTGGACCCCATCCCTGCATCCTGCAGGATCAGGGACAGGCGCTCTCTCTGCTGCGGAGATGTGTGAGGATCACGGTCCCTGCTCTGGTTTTCCCTAGACGTCACCGTCTTTCTTCGCATACATTATTGACCAACTTTGAACATGCTTCAAGTTCCTTTTCTTCCTGGCTGAAGTTCCCCCACCTTGTCCTCTTCCCGCCCCTACTGCAGTGGTTATTACAGTCAGAGGTGTGTGTTCATCAGATATACCGAGCCTCTGAGAGAGAAGGGATGTGAACATAATGTGTCATGATGATAACTTCTTTTCTATTCTTAAAGGTAATGCTGAGATTCTGAAGATCATGTTACATACGAGGGGAAAAAAGTAAAGGGATGCTTGGCCAAGGATCTAGAATATTCTGATCCAAGTTCAATCCCTTTGTAGTCTTTCGCAGTATATTTATGTAGTGTTTATAGAGGCACAGGAACTAGTGGGGTTCTGGGTTTCCACGTTGGCACTACTTACAAGACACTGTGCCATATCTTTGAAATGATTTCCTACATCYATTTACATATTTGCCTCAGGGAAATTCCCAAAGATTCTGCCTATGTTCATGTTGCTGACATATCAGATTTCATAATATTCGATGGAGAGACATGTCTATTTCTATTTGCTTTTTTAAATGATTTTTTTACTGTAGAAATTGGTGAGCTACTGCAGTGTGTCATTCATTTTGTGTGGTTTAATGAGAGTTCAATGACATTTTCTAAGTAAGCGATCCTCTGAGGCCACCTAGGACCGCTGGCCTTTTGCACGAGCAGCTTCTTGCGATAATGACTTGTGGTATAATGGAAAGAACACAGGAGGAGAGCGTCAAAGGCACGAGCTCTGCATGGCTTTGTCTCCTAGAGAGACAGCTACCTCATCTTTTAAAAACCGGGATGAGGCTTCCCTGCCCACATCCTAGGCTTGCTGTGAAGACCAGGTGCACAAATGACTCAGGATAGTTTGGGGACTCCAAAGTCCCTTCCCTTCAATAGATGTCAGCAGAGCCAGGGCCACAGTGCCACACATTATTGTGACTTGAGGCCTCACTGCCTGGGGTCACGGTTCAGCTCTATGGCTAACCCCTGGTGTGACCCAGGACATGGCGTCCAGTGACCTTGTGCCCTAGTTCCTTCGCCTCAGGGCTGTCGTTGATGGAGAATGGATAAGGCTGGACACCCCAGGAATTTTCAGGAAGCAGGTTTACTTAGGCTGCAGTGCTCCAGAGGGACTCATGCCTATAAATCTCTGGATTTCCCAGAGTCTGGAAATTCCTTTAGATTAGACAGTGGCATCAGTGGGAACATGACAGTTACTCTTGTCTCATACTCGTAGGCTAGACAGAGGCTTCACACGTTGTGTCTGCAAAGCTGGCATCTACAAGAAAGAGGAAGCTCTGAACCACAGTGAGCTCTCTGCAGATCTCCTGTGAAATCCTGTTGGCGCTCTTTGTAAAAATCTTTCTGACAAGAGGAGAAGCTTAATCGTGGTTTGGGGGTCTTTTGGGTGGGGGTACCCAGTCTGCTTCATCATGGCATCTCAAAGGCGGGTCTGTGGAAGGTCTTCAGCACAGCACTGGGCTCAGCGCGGCCCCWGGACCATTTGCTTCATATTTATTGGGTTCCTAAAAAGAGCAGGCGTTTCTGTGCGACTCAAGATGAAAAGAGGAAGACACAGTTCCTGTCCTCAGGAGCCAGACAAGACCAGGGAGAGGCAAGTGGCCACACAGGTGCTGGCAGCCRTGAGGGAAGGAGGACAAGATTGGGGACCCACAGGGAAGGAGGTGACGGGCTCTGCCAYTCTCCCAGAGCAACTTCCCAGAGAAGGCTTTGTCTGAGGTGTGCCTGGGAGGTCCGCCGACCTGGAAGCAGGAGCGAGAGAGGAGGAGGGAGCCTGGATGGGGAGTGGAGCATGAAGGCCTGGCTCCTCTCCCAAAGCCGCGAGTCCACAGGGTTGTCTGAATACGCCCAGTGCACATCGTTCTGTATGGTAATTGCTGTCATTTTGGGTTTTAATACAAATGAAAGAAGAAGCTTCTAGGGGAGGCAGAACTTTCTCCAGGGTYGTGCAGAGGGAACCCACAGGGCTGGGGCTGCGTGTCATCATTTCACCACGGCTCCATGGATCTGGGTGGCACTTTGTCGTTGGAGGAACAAATGTTTTCTGAGCAACAAGGTCTCCTTGAGGGAGAAAGGCAGCATCTTGAGAAAAGAGAGGATATGCCCACCAATTATCCAACAATGCTCATTTTTCCTACACGTATCAATAAGGAGCACCAAGAGTGGATGGAGCTCCAGTCTGAGTCATGCAAACTCTGTGGGAGCGCTGCAGTCATCCTCTTGTGGACAGAGTGTGTCCTGCTGCTGGATAAGCTCCGTGAAGCCAGCGGGGAAAGTGGAAGTCCAGCTGGGCACAAAGAAAATGCTCCAGATTACTGTGTGGGTCCTTTGATCAGCCTCACCAAACGGCCCTGGTGTTTTGAGGACCACTTGGCCCAGAGTTCAAGGTCCTCGGATCTTGTCTGAGGCCATACTGTTCCTTCCAGGGTCTGCATCTTAAGACCCCTCTCCATCAAACAAACACCGGACAGACACAGGACAAGTGCAAAACCCTGTGGACATAAGGGACAGTCCTTTCCCTGCTCTCATCGCATTCACAATGGCCTTTGAATTAGCAAAGGTGCCTTCTTACTCCAGGGAATATTCAGGAACGGAGGAGTTGGAAGTCTCAGAGTGGGTGGGTCAGGCCGAGCTGGTCTGGTTCGTGGGGCCTGGGACTGCTCAGCACCCAGGACCTCTCCAGGGCGTCAGAGTTCCCAGATGGGGGCTGGTTTCTGCTTTCCGTCTGGCAAGTGCACAGGGAGCTTTTGGCTGGGCACTGGGAAGGTCTACAGGGCTCAGCAGGCCGGCGCTTTCCCCAAGTGAATAGGGACAATGGTACAAAGTCACGCGAGGAAAAAAGGCCCCAAAGGCCCACTGGAGAGGAGGAAAGTCCCTTGGTCCAGCTTCAGAGTCCATGGTGCCACCAGCCTTGAAGAAAGCTGAGCCGCTGAGCTTTGGTCTGGTATCAAAGAAGAGCAGGATGATCTACAAAGGCGAGGAGCTTCCCGCACCATTGCAATTACATTTCAGTGTGAAGTGAGAGAGTCTTTACATCTTTCAAACAAAGCCATATATTGCAACAGATGGAAGGAAGAAGCAGGTGTGAGTTCCTGGCCAGACACCGAGATTTTGTATAAGTAGGAAACAACGTCACCCTTACTAATTTTTATTGGTTTAAAAATTAAGTTATTTTTAATGAGATATGTTGATCTTTGTTGGCATGGAATAGGCTATTATTTTTGAATAGGTATGTTAAAGTAAATATTTAATCTAAGTTTTAAATATGTTAACTATCAATAGAATCCATATAAATGAAAGGTCTTTGGGGTCCTCAGAGATTTTCAAGAGTTAAAAGATCCTGAAACCAAACTGAGAACCGCTGACCTGGTCAAATCACCTGATTGACAAGAGGAAAACAGCACCAGGATTTCGGTCTGTTTTTGAGGTGATGGCAATTTTTCAGCAGAGCCAGGAGCGAGGGCAGAGCCTTTGATTCCTAGTCCAGTGTTCTTTCCATTATATTACGTGGAGGGGAGTTTCAGCATGTGCAATTTGAATATTTCCATGCATGTGTATTTTGCTAAGGCTGTGTCTTTGCTGGAGCCAACACTCAGGTTGTGTTAGCAATATCAGCAAAAATAAGCAACATTTTCCCATGGATTATTTATATGGTGAACGCTGGTATAGGCAAAGGGGTTCTCGATAAAATTTTAAAAATAATTTATCCGAGTAAACCATTTTGATACATGATTTGGATTCATTATTTCTATCATCACCTCAGATTTGATTTTTGTTTAACATATGGCTACCATCATATTTTAAAGGCCATGTTGAAGACAGTAATGATGTCTCAGCATTTGTGATCCCCACAATAAATGAGACAAATGTGGTTGACCCCATGTCAAGGAGAGGCCTGTTTCCCGGGAGGTTCCAGGATCGGGCTGCCTTGAAAAGAATCTGGAGGCTGTTTCCCTTCCTGCTTTTGCTCCTGGGGTGGCCCAGGACAATCCTGTGGCTCACTGCAGTGACTCTGTGGCCATGCATCTGTTTTCTCTTCCCCATAAAACGGTTCCCCAGAGCATCATGGGCGATCTCACCTTCTCTCGAGAACCTGGCAGGTATACAAAGGTACACAGGTGAAATCTGAGCTGGGGTCTCCCAGGACAGACACAGCCTCGGGGCTTGGGGAAGAAAGTCTCCTGCCCCGTGATTGGGAACACGAATTGCCGCAGGAGAGGAGGAGCTGGCACTGACAGCCACTGCCGATTCTCCGACTTTCTCTCTTCTCTTCCTCAGTCATGGGAGCGCTGCACATTCCCAATGACAGCATTGTAGTCACTGAGGACGAGCCTTGTACTGTCACTTGCCGCGCCCTGGGCTGGAGCCCACTCCCGAATATTTCCTGGGAGGTCGCCGTCCCCGTAAGCCAGTCGAGCTATTACTCCTTCCTGGAGCCCGGCGAGCCCCGCAGCACGGTGAGCGTCCTGGCCCTCACGCCGCAGGGCAACGGGACCCTGACTTGTGTGGCCAACCTGAGGAGTGTGCAGGCCCACAAGGCCGTGGCTGTCAACCTCACGGTGGTCCAGTCGCCGTCTGGTGAGTGAAGACTCTCTGCCTCATGTCCAGGGAATTGTGCCTTCCAGCTTCTGTTTTCTGTGTGGGGCTAAAACAATGCCTGAGAAAATCACAGGGGACCTTGGTTTCTAGCTGGGGATGGTCATGAAGACAAATATCTTGTGCTGTTGGCTTAAAGATCCTGCGATCTCTTCTGCACTTATAATTCATCTTAAGGTTTTTTTTTTTTTCCCCCTGAATTGCACATGAAAACCATTCAGAAGTCCTGCCAATCAATGATCACAAAAGAGCACTGGATTCAGAGACAGATACTTGGATTGAATATTTCCTCTAGCCTCTACTGACGCTGTTCCAGGTCGGTCCCACTACTGAGGAGAGGAAGCAGGTCCCAGTGTTGTGTTTGGGTTGCCTTAGGAGAATCACGAGGTTTGATCTAGTTTGCCCAGCAAATCCACGATGCGCCATGTTTCCATCGACTGTTTAGCTGGACTCAGGGATATGACTTTCAAGTCTAGATCCTTCAGTGGGATCTACATGGGGTCCTTGACAGACCAGAGACCCTAACCAGCACCTTGCAGAGCCTATGAGCTCCAAGTGGTGTGGGTGGATGGGAGTGTGGGGGCGGTGGAGTTTTGGGTGCTCAGCCTGGAGATTCTCTCTAATGCCTTTGTTTCACAGAAGACAGGGAGGTCTGGAAAAGGGTTCTGCTCTAATCAGGAGCACTAGCTGGGTGGGGCAGAGTGAGTCCTGGAAGCTAAGGAGAGTTTTTCTCTTGGTCCAAAGCTTTTCCCACCATGCAACCACCATTACTTGAGGGTTTTCAAAGGTCAGAACAAAGCTCTAGCCAAAGCAAAATAATAATAATAATCCAATAACAAACAGCACTTTCCAACCACAAGAAAGAGGCACTGTCCCAAGCACTTCCCAAGTATTTTCACCACTGTGACCAAAAGACCTGACAAGAACAATTAGAGGAGGAAAAATTTATTTGGGGGCTCATGATTTCAGAAGTCTCAGTCCATAAAAGTCCAATACCACTCCTTGGGATCTAAGAGGAGGCAGAAAGTCATGGCGGAAATGTGTGGCGGAGGAGAGTGGCTCAGGACGTGGTGATCAGGAAGTAGAGAGGACTAAATATACACCGGAAGGCCTGCTCTCAGTGACCCGGCTCCTCCAGCCGTACCCTCTCTGCCTGCAGTTCCCACCGGGAACTATCAGGGGATTGATTCACTGACGAGGTCGAGGCTCTCTAACCCGGTCATTTCAGCTCCAGACTTACTTTCTGGCATTTTCTCATACATTTTTGGGGGACACCTCACATCCAAACAGAACCTCAAATATGAACCAGGTTCACCTGCACCGCAACCCTAGTTGCTGTAAGGTGAGGTGACAGGGACAGTATTGACAGGAGTTTGACCAGGCCCTAGAGACAGTAGACAGCAGGGAAGTCCTGGCAGTCTGTCCCTAGGATCTGACCACCCACTCCACCCACCACCGTGTGAGTGCCACTGAATTGTGTAAGGGCTTCCTGTGGCCGCTGTATGAGGTGTGGCAGATGACAGGCGGGGGCTGGGAGGACCAAAAGCAGGAGGTCACTGTCTGGTCCTTCTGGAGGCTGCAGTCCCAGGTCAGGGTGTCGCAGGGCTTGTTCCTCCTGAGGGCTGGGAGGGAGAATCTGTTCTGCTGCTCTCCCTTCGTTTCCGGTGTTGGCTGGTGGTCTTTGGCCATGTGTCTTTAGCCATCTTGATGGAACTCTGCCTTCATCTTCCCATGGTGTTCTCCCTGTGAGCAGACCCCCCAGTCATATTGGATCAGGGAGTCGTCTTACTCCAGAATGACCTCGACTTACATCTGCAATGCTTCTCTTTCAAAATAAGTTCACATTCTGAGGGATTTAGCGTGAGTTATTTTGGGGCACAGTTCATCCCATAACAGGAATCTCTGAACCTATCGAAAACTCTTCTGAGCCTAACCTGTTGTAAGCACCCACCATCTGTGCTCCATGCTACGTGGATTGATCCCCAGGGCAGTGTTTGCTCACTCCCCTGATGTAAGCCTTCTTGTTTCCAATTCGGCTGTCCCCAGAGACCAGGCAGACAACAAAAATGAACACAGAAATGAATATATGCATCAGTTAGAGGATGGAGTGGTAGGGGAGGGGGGAACCAGAGCACACTTGCCCCCTCCACACAGAGCAGCTCACACCAGCTCCAGCTGATTGTTGCTGAGGGTATGTGGATCCAGTACTGCCAGCCCTAAGTACTCCATGACAAGGTAGAAATCTGGAATTCTATGTGAATTTCTGTGGCTTTTGAATGTTGTCGCTTCTTAAACCATTTTGTAACTCTGTAGGCTAAGCAAACACAATAACCATAAGGGGCCTTGTACTGTCCATTCCCCAGCCCTGTGTGATGTCTCCCTGTTTAAACAGACCCTCACTCCGTCACTCTGAGGTCTGTGGACTAGGAAAATGGTACTGCAGAGTCAAAATTTATCTCCAAGAGAACTAACTTGCAGCTATTATTTTCCAAATTCCAAGGAGCAGAAGTCTATTACAAGGATCCCTCCTCCTTTTCCCTCATCTAGAAGGTTCTGGAAGCCCTTTGTTCTGGAATAAGAAAGAGCAGGAGAGCGGCTCACTGGGGCAGCTGTCTCCCCTCCTGCTTGTTTGGTTGCACACACTCCAGCTCTTCCTGAGCTGGCTGTGGGATGTCGCTCTGGGTTGCTTAGGCCTGGTTCTGGTGGAGGCAGTGTTTCCAGGGCCGGGACATGAACCTTGTGTTTCTTGGAACTTAAGTCAAGGCTAGCTTATTCTAGCTGATTAAATTCAAGGAAATCTAGCTTTTCCCTACCAAGACAGTAGGTGGGGATAAGCTCAAATCCAAACCTAGTTTGCTTTTCTTTCTCCACCTTACTTTGAACAATTATAAAACCTTGACAACAGTTGTGGGGACAGTATAGGGAATACCTATGTTTCTTCATCGGGGTCACTAAATGTTCCCTAGATGCTTGTCATGCTCGTCTCCCTCCTTTTCTGTCCCTCGACCTTCCCCCAGAGTATCTGAGAGTCACCGGGAGATGGGATGACACTGTGTCTGTCATACGGGGAGGCCACTCTCCCACATGACCCCACRTGGTGGGCTACCAGAAAGCTTAACCTTCATCCAGGACCATTGCACAGGATGGGGTCTGTACTTCCAATATCTCTGATAATGTAATATGTAGTGAGTTGTTTCCCCCAAACTGGAGTTAGCTTTGGGTGTCAGGGCTTCAGTCTCCTTGAAGTTCAAATGGCTCCCCGAACTTTTTGCCTCTCAGGGTCTAAACATTTTTGAAGGGTCCAGTCTACTTCTGAAGGATTCTCCCCAATTTGGATTTTTTTTTCCTAATTTTTTCCCAGCATACTTTGCACTGGGCTAAATATAATCTTGCAAGATGTACGTAATGCCACATGGGCACACGAGGACAGTGTTCTCTATCATTGGTAATGAGTATGTCTGTGGCATCTCCTGGATCTCTCCAGTGAAAAGCTACCCTTTTGCCTTAATAATTCACATCGGATCCATGCACACTGTGGGAAGGCGCTGTTTCTCCACAGCCTTCCACCTAATAACTTTTGCATTTACTGCTAAGTCCCTGCTGGAATGTGTTATTTCTATGCTGGCTGTAAACCAGCCTTTCTATATTTAGTTGTTGGCATTCTTTTGTAAAGAAGAGACCTTCTTTTCTTCCTTTCGTCTCTCTTTTCCTTCCTGTTTTGGTATGGACTCATTTTTCCCAATCCATTGTATTCCACTCTTGTCATTATTCCTTTTGATGCTCAGCTTGGTCCCAGGGTGGCCTGCAGGAGTCCTTTCAAGCTGTCTTGGTGTCTTTTTGATGTTTCTCTCTCACTTTCTAAGCACTTGGTCCAGTCAGTGTTCCAGACTCACTCTGCACCTCCGTGTCCCAGCCTGGAATCGGCCACGTCGGCACGGAGCTGACCAGCTTGCCTTTACGCTACTTAAATATGATGAAGTCTGGTCCAGGCTTTGAAAGGAAGACTGAAAAAAATGCATAAGCCTTCTGTATTCTGTAAAGAAGTGTCCGTTGAAGCACGTAGTTTGCAGGGTAGCAGGGCAGCCAGGAGCTCTTGCAGGACCAATGGTACCCTATAGAAAGGGATTTTAGAGATTAGGTAGCCAGCATTTTTTTTTCCTGCTATAGGGGCAGGGCAGAGGGAGGGCATTTAATGTCCCTTGTAGGTTGACTCAGTGGAATTCTGCAGGGACCAAATGAGTGCTTTACCTTCAGTGGCTAGAGGCAGGACGGCTGGGTAGGAGGTTTAGCGGGTGGGCGGCAGTGAGTCTGTCCTTATTGGACTCATTTGGAAAAGGGTCATTAGTTTCTAAATTATTCATCCAGGTCTGGAGCAGCTGGTGCTGGCAGTGTGTTGTGTGTTTTGTGCAAGTTTTATTGGCGGAAGTCTCCGTCCCAGCCTTGGCTGGTGCAGCTGGCCCGAGGCTGCAAGTGGCAGAGCCAGGTTTCCAGGGAGCCGAGAGGGATCAGCTCTGCCTGTCAGGCCTCTTCAGGGATCTGGTCAGCATCAGTCCTGATGCCACTTCCCCAAGCACAAAGAATCTGTTCTCATTTCTGGAGTGATCCCTGTCAGTCATGGAGGGAAGGACAGTGGCAGCAGAGGAGGTTGGAGCAGGTCAGGCCCCGTGGCACGGAGTTCTTCCTACTGGTGTGTAGCCCAAGAGCCTTCCTCAAGAAAAGTGAATTGCAGGGTGACTGCTCACCTTCAGAACTGTTTCGTAAAAGCTGATTTTCTTGCTGACAGAAGAAACAGAAACTTAGAGTATCACAGACATCCCYGAGACTAGCAAGCCACAGCCCTCTCGCCCCTGTCTCGAGACGCTGTGGGCCTTCATGCCACTCTGGGTTGTTTTCTTTTTTTAAATTTGTTTTTTTTTTTTTTTGAATTTTTAATATTTATTTTTTAGTTYTCGGCGGACACAACATCTTTTGTTGGTATGTGGTGCTGAGGATCGAACCCGGGCCGCACGCATGCCAGGCGAGCGCGCTACCGCTTGAGCCACATCCCCAGCCCCTTAAATTTGTTTTAATTAGATACACTTGACAGTGCAATGATCTTGACACATCATACATTTGAATCTCTGGGTTGTTTTCTTTGCATCTGTCTGTGGACAGCTTGGGAAAGGATGGAGGTGACACATGACCGCCCCTGTAGGAGGGCGTGACTCCTGTCCACAGTGCATGTCCACGGAAACTCAGGGGCAGAGAAGGGCGGTAGGCGTGGCAGTCCCTTCACTCTGCAATAATGGTGTGAGTCTGGGCTCCGGTGTCTCACCTGTGACAAGGGCAGGAGAAGAGCAGAGTGGGTTCTCCCTTCCTCTGTGTGTCGGTCACCGGAGGAGGCTGGACGCAGACACTGAGGCTCAGGCCCCTCCCCAGAGGCTCTGGTTTGACTGGTCTTCTTGGAGCCTGGGAGTTAGGATTTTAAAGTTCCCCAACCATCTGTTGGGCACCTAGGATTTTGGGACACTGTTCTAAAAACAATCTCCAGGTGCCCACCTTCCATCTAGCCTTCAGGAGTGGTGATCCACGCAGGTTTGATCATCAGACAGCGGCTGCTCCGGCTCACTCACTAGACAAGTGGCCGCTGGTGGTGGTAGAGGGGGTGGGCTGGGGGGCCTGCAGCACCGGGGTGGCCTGTCCAGGCAGGACGCAGAGCCAGGGCTGGCGTCTCACTGGTCCAGTGATCCCCTGGGTCCCTCCGGTTCACCAAGAAGCGTGCTTTGTACATGGTGGCGGTGAGATTCTGTGTGAACACAGTTGGCTTCAGGAAATTCCACGCAGCCTTTGACAACTGCACCTTCCTTTGGGAGCACCTGGGAGATACATCTTCCTGGTCTTCAAAGATGGAAAGAAAGGAAAAGGACACTCTTGAGGCTGAGTAAAGCCCGTCTTAGGTCAGTCGTGCAGCCCCCACCGTGGTGTGGAGACCCTAGGGAGGGAGGCGGTGCTGACCGGGAGAGGGCCTCTCAGGCCCCATCTGTGGTCGCTCAGGTATGGCACCTCTCTGCCAGCCAACCTACCACACCTGGAAGCAGGCACACCCCAGACTTCTTAAAGACCTGTTTATTTCACGTCAGGCCTGGGTGGTGACTTCCCAGGGGGATTGGGGTAACTCACGGCAGGGTGCGGGGTGAAGGACGAGGCTCTCCTGTGTCTTATCCTGGATAAGACCATTCCAAGAATCTGTGTTTTCTGGGCACCTTTATGATTTTTTGATTTATCAATATGTGACTGTTATCATTTATTTTTTTCAATTTACCATAATAGTATCCATTTTAAAAATTGGCCTTATACTGAACAAAAATATCCAGTGTGTATATGATACATGTGTACATATACAAACACACACATATGTATACACATGTGTGTAACATATGAAAAATAAAATCATTATTAAAACAAAAGAGGTTAACCTATGGAGCTCCAGGACCAAACCCTCCCCACCCCGGCTCATGTACAAGGCTTTGTCCTCCCCTGAGTTAGAGGGAGACTAGAGCTCAAATCTCTCCCAGGTGTAGACTTCCAGCAGCATGTGGTCACCACCAGTAGAGAGCAGARGAAGAGCCTTCTGGTTCCTGAGGCCAGTTGCCATTTGGTCAGAGTTGGGGGCTTTTGGGCAGGCATCGCCTGGCTGACTGGTGAGTTAAGGAACAAGGAAGTGGGTAATGCCAATATGGTCCACTCTCCTCCTTGACTCTGTCACCAGTCTCTGCAAGGCTGCTTCCCCTCCTGCAAACAGGCACGCCCAAGGGCACTCCCAAGGGCACTCCCAAGGGCACTCCCAAGGACACAGCAGGCAGTGGCTTCTAGGTGAGAGGAAAGGCTGTCAGGTCAAGCCTGAGCTGGCAGGAGGGTGGGAAAGGCCACGGCATGACGTCTTAGCAGGTGAGGGGTCCTGCCGGCATGACGTCTTAGCAGGTGAGGGGTCCTGCCGGTTGCTGACATACTGAGCCAGACCTTACTGTTTAACCTGAGCCAGCTCCCTTATTGTGAAAACTTGTCATATTTGCAAGCTGAGTTTTGTAAGAGCCCATCAAACTGGATGCAGGGTGACAGTGGCAATCTCAGGCATGTGCCTTGGAACTTCGAGCCTCCTCAGAACTTTCCCACACATTTTTTTGAGTCTCTGGGCCAGAATTGTTACTGGTGAGTGAGATGGAGGCCAAAGGGGACATAGCAGGTACACGGTGGCATGAGACTGACTGGCTACCCCAAGGCAGGCCCCAAGAGAAGCCCGAGGCTCTTGTCAGTCATCAACCTTCCCCACAGTGCTGATTTTCAACTCCAGATTGAGAATAGATTGATGAAGTTCTTGACTTCATCCTATTCTTATGGATTTGTGGGAGGGGGCCTAGGGGAGCACCCGCTAAGGAATGGAGTTAGTCTTGGGCAGTGTTTACATTTTTTGTCACATACCAGGGATTCTCAGAGTGTGGGTCCTCAGCCACCTGCATCTCAATCACTTGGGGCACGATTCCAAATCCCTTGATTCTGCACATCCAACAAGCATTCCAGAGGATTCTTGGGGTTCTTCCATCTGTGGAACGAGGGGATAATAAGCTTGCTCTCTGAAAATGAGGAGCTGGTGTTAGTGCTCCAAGTCTGGGGGTGGGAGGTATGGTAGAAGAGGGTATAATTCTATCCTCTCCCCATCACAATTTTTTGGGGGCCCCTTTCTTGTCTCTTTCTGTCCTATCTCATTTCAGAAAGATGATGAGTAAGGTGGAGATAGATGACATTAGAAAAACAGTTGACTTTCTCTACATTCCTACAATTCTGTTCTGAGCATCCCAATATGGACAGAAAGGTGAGTTCTAGGTATGACTTGGCTACAGCCAGCTGCCTGACTTCTCTGTGTGGAGTCAGAAGGGAATTCAGCATCTTAGTCATCCATCCATCCATCCATCCATCCATCCATCCATCCATCCATCCATCATGCCTAATATGTTCCAAGTGCTTGGAGTATAAGAAAAATAAGTCAGTCCTTGACCTTGAGAAAGGTAAGTCCTGTTTGGACATCATAAGATATATAAGAAGAAATGGAAGCAACAGTTGAATTCCTCAATGTTTGATAGGACAGTAAATGTGAGGTGTTCAAAAGAGAAACTGTCAAAATCATTTTAATATTTCTCAATTTCCTAGAAGAAAAATTTAAAAAAATCCTTTACAGACAAAGCAGAGAATCTTTGTGTAGGAAGGCAAGACACATATTTTTTTTATATTATATAATTCTTCAATGTATAGAGTTCCCAGAATTTCAGCTCTTGTTTTTAGACAAGATGTAGATGATTCTGCAGCTGGATCCTGAGCTGCCCATGAGTCAGCCTCCAGGTGTTTGGAGGTGTTAGACCCAAGGCACAAGTGATCATCTCTAGCAATGCCACACTCGTTCTGAACATTTGGCACAGACATGGGAATGGCAAACTATAATTGCAAGGTCAATTTTCAAGGAAAGCYCTAAGGAAGAACATCCAAGAGTGATTTTCAACTCTGGCTTTTGGTTCCAAAGTGCTGAATGACCATTAATTTCAAAGCCAACTCCRTGTTCCTTCAGAGGAAGCCTCTGTTTTAATATTTTCTGATGTCTAGCCTCTAATAAAGTAGCACATGTTTATATCAAGATGCAAGTCACTCACTCAGGGCTGAGTGACAATTGTTTGTCTAGAGCAATTCACAGTCGGACAGTGGTGGTTTGGCTTCYATGTGGCTGGCAGGGAGAAGCGAAACGCTGGACGAGACCCTCCTGGGAGCACCAGTGTTGTTCCCACCAACCATGGCCCGGTCATGCTGCCCAGTAGGACTTTCTGTCATGACAGAGGTATCCCATAGCTGTGGTAATCAAGCACTCAAAATGGGACAGTAACGGAGGCACTGAATAGTTAATACACCTAATTTGAATTAATTAAAATTTGAATTTGAATAACAACATAAAAAGCTGGGATTGGAGAGCTCTGAAACTCGGCAGCAAAAACTCAAAATCGCCTTTTTCTCTCTTTCCTGCTCTGCCCTCTTCCTGTAACTTCCTGCCCGTTCCTCCTCAGCTGGCCATTTTTCTCTTGTGACCCCCTGACTGCCTGGTACCCTCAGAGGGCAAAGCAGTCCCCGAGGAGGGCGGCTCCTGAGAGCTGAGGGCGGCTCCTGAGAGCTATGGGAAGGCAATTTCAGCCTGAGAACTAGATCCTGCAGGGGTCTGGGTGGGGCTGCCGCGAAAGCCCTGCACCTGGCTTCCTTAGCAGGGACCGGCTCTGTTCCTGTTGGCTCTGGACCTCAGAGAGGCCTCCAGGAGTGAGACCCCCATCGTTCTCCAGTCTTGCCCGGCGGCAGCTGCTTGAGGATGATTCTTGAGTGAACACAGAAGGTGCGGGTGTGATGAGAGTCCTCCGCCCCGGGCCCAGGCTTTCGCCTCTCAGGGCGCCAGGTGCTCCCGACTCACACCTGGGCTGGGTTCCTCAGCAGTTATTTATGGATCACAATAAATATGAGGATGGAGATGCTGACCAGTGCTGATTAACGGAACTCACGGAAGGGAYGCTGGCCTCTGGCGCCCGGCCACAGCAGGCTCCCTGTTGGCATTAGTGGAAAACAGACTGTAATGTAGAGCGAGGCAGAGTCCATGATCCGAGGCAAAGCTCACTCAAATGTCTCCTCTCCTTTCAACCCTGCAGGCAACACGGAACAGTCAGGTGCATCGTTGCCCACCTGGGCCATCGCTCTGCTCGCAGTGTTATGCGTGTCCGTGTTTATCCTGATAGTTGTTCTGATCATCGTTTTCTGCTGCTGTTGTTCCTCTCGGAGAAAGAAAAAAGGTAACTTTTTCCTGTGTAAATTTTTATGTAGTTTTGAAGTTTGGTATAAGCAGATGAAGCTGATGAGCTCGTGAGCTCTTTTAAATGAYCCACTGAGGGCGAGCAGATAGAGCTTCCCACCTGCAAGAGTGGCTATTGTCATCTGTCATTCTATTGACAAATGGCCAGTGTTGGAGACAGTGTGGAGAGAGGGGGCCCTTGAYCACTGGTGGGAATGCAAATAGGAGGGGCCATTATCGGAACAGTGGGGGAGCGCTCAGACAAAATGAAGCCCAGGGCCACTGCGTGATCCAGCAACTCCACTACTGGGTATGTACCCAAAGAAAGCGGAATCGGAATGTCCAAAAGATGCCTGCTCTCCACGTTCATGGCAGCACTATTGTTAGCCAAGAAGGGGAAACCGTCCAAATGTCCGTCCATTGAGGAATGGAGAAAGAAACTTACACAGAGTCAAAGGACAGCTGCCAGGTGGGGGCTGAGGGGATGGGGACACGTAGGTCCAAGCAGACAAGGTTTCAGTCAGCCAGGACRGATAAGTGATGGAGATCCATTGCAAAGCAGGTGTCTGTGCTCATCATGCTGCATTGTGTGCTTGGAAATTACTACAAGAAGAGGTTCCAAATGTTCTCAACATAAAAAGGTGATTAAACGTAAGAGGCGATGGATGTATTGAATAGTCTTTAATCAGTTCACGATGCACACATGTCAAAACGTCATACCACACGCTGGAAGTAGATACAATTTTAACACATATAAAGCTGATGTATCTATAATAGATCAATATCAGTTATACTTAATAAAGTTGGGAAAACAGTAACAAAAAATGAGACAAAACACGAAACAGAAGAGCATTTGACTCCAAAGCCCTTGGAAGGAGCTGGAGAGATCCACGGGGAAGCTGAGGGTCCTCTGGGAAGGAGCTGATCTGTAGGAGCTGTGGGGTCTTCCCTCTGCCGGGAAGCCAAAGAGGCAGTGCCTTTCTCACGAGACACGGATTATTTGAACTTTGTGCTTATTTTCAAGGGTATGTAGCTACTGTGATGCGTCATTGAATGCTGTAGTTTTTTTTAGGATAAAACCTACCCGTTTGGGCACATCAGAAAGTTGTTTCCTGTTGTGTGAAGTTAAATTTCCCTTTGCAGGAAAATATTAATGTACTGGTAGAAAGAAAAATAAGGTCTCCTGTTACAGTCTGGATTTCCCCATGAGGATGATTTCAATGCTTCAAATGACTAAATATAATTTTTCCCCCCAAAAGTATTTTTTGGTACTCGACTGGTACCTGCAGAATTCTCCCTGTGCCAAGTGGTTGACAGTGGAGTGACTGAGAGGGACCCAGCGGAGTCCTAAAGAATACAGGCTTGAGAGACAGGCGTGGGGACTCGGTCTGTGGCTTGTGACTCCCTGTCTTCAGATTCTAGATTCACTGTAGTTCAAGGATCCGTTGATTAGAGATATTAGCAATTTAATGACAGCTTTGGGGGAACGTGTGTATATACCAACCGTATCTACCATTGGCACAAATGAAACTGATAGAAAATGTATCTTAGAATAACGTGAGAAGGTAATGCTACTATGGTAATATCTAGTCTATTAAATTTGGTGACACTAATAACTACTCTTGGGTTGTTGCAACAATTAAATGAGGTGATGCTTTGTACAGTTCTGCCCTGGGGCTCATACATTGTCAATACTGATGAATGACAGTGGTGATTGGTGGTGCCAGCACTTCTTGTTGAAGGAGTCTTTTATAATATTGGTAATCAAACTCAGAATCACTAAATACTAATTGGATACCCACTGTCTTTCAGGTGCCTTAGGTTTACTTATTTTTCTATTGGTTAAGAGTGAATTCTGCTTTCCTTATTCTTGGAAGCCATTGGATGATTTGGTGTGGGGGTCCCTTCTTAATGCCTGCTGGGTCACCCATACTAATGTGAGGGTTAGTAGAATCTGGGCGTCTGTAACAATCAATGAGATTTTGTTTTTAAAACTAGTATTCTGATTTTTCTAATTTTTTTTTTTTTTGCAGAGTCTGTTTACCAAATTAAAATAAGGTAAGTTTGAAATCATGTTGGTTTTTTGAAAACCAAGTGAACTACCACCACCACCACCAGCACACATACCCATAATCGTGCCATTTTAGGGTTTGTGTTACTCAAAATTAAGTCCTGAAAATAGGCGACACGGCAGAGCACATGTGCCAGCCACAGACTCACGGGGCGGCCCTCGGGGACTAGCGCAGGGTGGACGACGGCTGCCCGGCTTGCTCTGGCTGCTTAGGGCTGGAGCAGACGTGTTGGTGCCTGGCATTTGCAGCTCCTTCCACAAGAGGACACTGTGCACCAGGACTGTCCCTCCTGTTCTCCGTTGAGGATGGGGACACCAGAGAGGGTACGCTGGGATTTCTGGGGCATTGGAAAGCCAGGCCTCGAAGAGCTGCAGGAGGCAGCATTCCCCGCTCCTTGCACCACAGGAGGCAGGACAGAGACTCCCCTCCTGCCCRCACTGTCCAGCAGTAGCTGCAAGCACTGTAGAGGTGACCGTGTCGAGACCCACCAGAGCAGTGCCCACCAGTGTGGACGCAGCACTTGGGCTGGCAGCAGTGCTCCAAGGGGGCGCTGTGGACACGGGTGGCTTCCTGGCCGCGGCTCTGGCAGTCATGGCTAGCTGTCGCTCTTTACCTGTTAATCTGAAATGCTAAGATTTAGCCTATGCCTGGCTGCACTCAGTACAGTGGACAAGTGTGTGTCCTCAGGAAGGGACAGGTGCTATCCCTCTCCCCCCGCCGCTGGTGATAATGCGGTTCTGAGAGGCGCCGTCTTCTGAGGATGCCACCGTGGAGCATCTGAAGACAGGTCCCCGTGGGGCCTGACTTAGGGGAGGGAGGAGGAAGGGACACCACCCTGATAACCTTTCTGGCCTCTTTTCGACTCTACCCCTCAGCGGGACCACAGCATGGAGGCTGGCCTCGCCGTTGTTGACCATGGCCACATCTTTGGTGTCTGTTCGGGGGCCTTAGGTGACCTCAAAGCATAGTAAGATGATCAAGAGCCATTGAGGGTCCTGGGCAGAGAGCAGCCACAGCCCCAGTGCAGTGACCGTGGGTCCACGGGACAGCTGGGCTTCGCTGAGGGCGTCCCACGCACGTCAGCTTCTGACCTCAGCCCTATGGAGCTTTGCAGTCTGGATTCTCACAGTGACTTTATGAGGCCACTTTTTTCCATTTCGTAAATGAGGACCCTGAGCTAGAGAGGTTAAGCAAAATTCCTGACGTGTCCCCTGTGGGCGGGGGAGGGTGGGAACCAGAACAGGGCTGCCTGTTCCAGGGCTCAGGTCCGTCTGTGTGTGCTGCTCCCGTGCTGGACCAGGCTCCCTGTCCGGAGGTGAGGACAGGGTAGCTCGCTTGCTGACCTGGGTCTCCTTCCAGTTGTCCCTGGGGCTGACTCCTGCCACGCACGGCACCCTTTGCATCAAAATCACATGTGCGTTTTAAATTTTTTTGAATAGAATCAGTGCACGTTTATTGTAGACAACAATTAAACAAATATAGGTATAAGAATTGGTGTTCAAATCCCTTACAGCTCCACGACCCAGGGTCATCATGTCCTCTACGCATGTGTGTACCCACGGGCACACGTGTTCACATATGCACACGTGTGTTCACACACACACGCACACACACACACAGTTATTTTATAACTTGCTCTTTTCATTTGACTCCATCCGGAAGTCAATTTTCCATCAACAATTATTTGTCTACCATATATATATATATGTATATATTTATATATATATATTTATTTATTTATATTTTTGTACCAGGGATTGAACCTAAGGGCACTTAACCACTGAGCCACGTCCCCAGCCCTTTTTATGTTTTATTTTGAGGCAGGGTCTTGCTAATCTGCTCTGGCCTAACTAAATTGCTGAGGGTGATGATCCTCCTGCCCCAGCCTCCCGGTGCAGGGTTACAGGGTGTCCTCCGCCCTAGGCTTGCCCACAGCATTCTTGTTTGTTTGATGAAGTCTTAAATGGTCGTGTGACTACAGAAAAGGGTACAGACCATGCCCGTGGGGCTTGGCTGGTGTTCACAGGGCACTTGTGCTAGGGCTCGGCTGCTGAGATTCTGAGCTGGAACATCCTCAGTGTCTGAAAGTGCAGCTCAGACCCCGTCAGATTGTTGTCTGCCCCTTGTCACCAAAGGCAGCATTCTCTGGCACCTGTCCCCACATCCCCAGACACTAGACTCCTGTAACTGTCACAGGGTGGACTCATGTCACGCGTACTCATGCACGTCTTCCTGCTTGAGCTCCTCACTCAGGCTGAGCCACACTGGCACGCAGATGTTGATGGCGTGACAGTTACACCATGTCACCACCATGTCACGGTGTGCAATTCATTTTTCCCCACGGCTTTAAGTGGGCGTTTGGGTAGTTTCCAGGTTGGGGCTGTTCTGAATGGAAGGGCCCCTCTCTGAGCTGTTCATATGTCCTTTTGTGAACCTAAGTGCCCACTCCTGTTTGTCCTTCTGTCGGGCGCACCTCTAGCAGGGAGCCCTGGGCCACAGGGTCGGCCTGACTTCCGCCACAGTCTCCAAAGGAGCTGCTCCAGGGCACAGGGCCCCCAGCAGCTCTCGAATGTCCTCATCTGTCATGAGTTTTGCAGCAGCGTGGAGACAGGTCCTAGAGACACTCGTCATTCATTTTACCAAGTCCCTGCTGCTGGCCACCTGGGCTGTTTGTGGGTATTGCTATTATACATAGCCCACGAGGAATACTCTTTCTAGAACTAATTCTTAGACATTGAGTAACGTATTCCAAACTTCTGAAGCTCAATATTTCTAATTCTCCCTCTAAGCATTGCCAGACGTCGTTCCCAGCATGCTGCCCCCCTTGCTGTATTTCCGAGGTTGGCGCAGGGTTTCCATAAGGGCTGCATTGTAAGCGGTTTGGTTCTGCCAGCCATCTGGTCTCTGTTACAACATCCAGCTCTGCTTTTGTAACACGAGAGCAGCCCCAGACCACACGGTGGCCTGTGGACAGGTGTGGCCGTGTTCCAACAAAACTTCATTTATAACAGCAGCTGGTGGCTGCTATTACTGACCCCTGCTTGATCAGTGGTTCCTGAGAGTGGACACCAGGTGGGTCTCATGAGGCCCATGGGGCTCTGGTGAACAGGTTCCATCCCTCCCATCCTGAGGACGTGAACTTGCGGACCGTGCACATCTGCACGGTGAGCTAGGCACCTGGCTGAAGCTTTCCTGGGGCCGGACTGCATGGGAGGCTGAGGGTAGCCAAGCAACCCGGGTCTCCGTGGCCAACTAACATGTGACTTTGTAAAATGTTCTACTTCTAGGAATTCTGAAAACGACAACACAAAGAAAGGAACTTCTGAGACAAAGTTAAAAAACGAAAATGAAAACTATGCATTCAGTTCAGATGCACCAAGGACCAGACGTGAGTAGCTGGTGGGGCAGGAGAGAGGCAGCCAGGAGACGGTGCTGACGCAGGGCCAGCAGGACACCACTCCTGGGGAGCACAGCAGCCACAGCGGTAGCGAGTTCTTGGATAATGTTTAGAAGGAGAAAGTCTAGAATCAGGAATATTCTAGGACTAGGTTATTAGTAAACTCCACCTGTTTATCTGAAACTTGTCTTTTGGGTTCTTTCCCCAGGATTTTTCTGTAAAGCCTTCTGCTTTAAAAAGTGTGGGGAGGCGTTTTAATCCTTTGCAGGAAGTTTCCTCCAACCCTACCAGACCCCGCCACACTGACACTTGGCAAGTAATCTGTGCCCGTTGTTTGGGCCGGGTGCTGGAGAACGGGAGACCCCCTCCACTTCTGAAGCATCGTTCTGATTATCTCATTTTCACAGAGGCTAATGGGTGGCAGAATCTTTGAAGGCTGCCTCCGGACAGTAGGATTTGTAAGGCTGATGATAAGGAAAGTCAGAACAAATCCCGCCCCAGCAGTCTTCCAGGAAGACCCAGCAGAACAAATCCCACGGGAAGATTTTCAGCCCATCAACCCTTGATGAGGATTTTTATTCTTTTTTCCTTAAATAGGAACTCTATCTTCAGAGACCCCCATTCCAAATAGTAGGCTTCAGATCTTAAATAATTCTACAAAGCACAAATAGCTTCCATTTATAGTGTAACCACAACTTCCTGCAGTTTCTTGTGAATGTTTATTCATTAGTACTTTGAGCCATTAATCAAGCATCTTGACGAAAATCTTGGCTGAAATCTAAACCTCTGTTTCTTTCCCCCCATTTGTCCTGTAGGTATATTTTTCTTGGTCAGCTATTCATCTTGTCTCTAGATGAGGCTATTATGTCAAGAAAGGAATTGATTTTAAGTCAGTTTTTAAAATATTTTTATTTTACTAAAAGAATACAGTTCTAAAATTATATAATCTCAAAGGAATTTTTAAAAACAGTATTTATGGTTGTATTAGCTTTCCGTCACTATAACGAAATGCCCGAGATGAAAAGYTTATAAAGAGGAAAGGTTTTAATTTTGTTCACAATTTCAGAAGCTTCAGTCTACATTTGATTTGTCCTATCACTTTGATGAAGCAGCACATTTGGGAGGGGAGCACATGACAGAGCACAGTTCCTCATCGCATGGCAGCCAGGAAGCAAGAGAGACAGAAAGGGGCCAGGGTCTCAATATCCCCTTCAAGGACCCATCTCTAATGATGTCTCTTCCTTCCAAAGGCCCTGTCTCTGAATGGTTCTCCCACCTCCCCACAGACCAGGCCTTTAACACACGGGCCACCAGGGCACACCCAGACTGAAACTGTAGCAATGGCTAGGGTTACTGGGTTCTGGGGCTCCACATAGGAGCAGGCACGTCTCCTTATGCATCACAGCCTTCAGTGCATGTAAGTCGGTTTATTTTTTAATCACCAAATACACTGAACTCATTCTTCTATTGCAGAGACGGCTCGTCTCCCTCCCAAGTCCAGGGAAGCCCGCGCCCAGGGACAGCCGAGCAGCAGCCCTCCTCCCCAGGTGACCTGGACGTTTCTTTCTCTATCACCCTGCAGCGTGAGATTCTAAAATGGAGCCTGTTGAACGTCCATGCTGGAGGGAATGGGGGGCGACCTTGAGTATCTCCTGTCCCTCCAGCAGTGCTCCAACACCAAAGCTGACGTGTGCAGTTGTCCATGAGCCCGTTTTGAGAGAAGGTGACTTGGCTGGGGGACATACCAGCAGGGCCAGCAAAATCACAAAGGCACACAGCTTGCCGTGTGTTCTTGTTGAGCCACGTTCTCCAGGACTTAAGTCAGCCCTGCTGACCTGGTTACCTGGCCCCACAGGAGGCATATCTGTACTTGGACCAAGGGTACTTGGCTCATGGAAGGATGCTGGGTGCTGGGTGCTGGGTGCAAGACATAGTAAAAGCGTCTGTCTGTGCATGAGAGATCTGTGACAGGAGCTGGAGAGCTGGGGAGGCCCTGGTGGGACTAGGGTTGAGGGGAGAGCAGAGGGGCTACGATGAATCCAGCCAGGACCACAGGACCCTCATCTGCTCTTACTGAGAGGAGGGATGTGGCTGGCAGAGTGGGTTTTGGGGGGAAAGAGCAGACATTTAGAGCTTGCAGATTCTGAGGTCTCACTTAGATGTGCACGAGAATCCGTTGGGTGTGCAGCTGAATTCATAAGCGTGGCTTCCAGGGCGCGTCACATGCTGAGGCTACTGTTGGATGTTGAACACAGCTGGGATGGCATCCTCGGGACGGGCCAGCTGGGACCCGGGGAGCACAGTGAGCTACCTCCGATGGAGAGTCCTTGGCACTTGTTATTCCCATGAATGAACTAGAGCTAATCTGCAGAAAATGAGATTTATTTCTTAAATCACGTTGGGCGTAACCGGCGCCCTTCTCTGACCTGGACAAATGCAACCTCAGCTGCGGAGTGTCTGGCGTGTTCCCCGCGGGGCCCAGGGCGCACGGTGTTCTCCCCTGCAGCTCTCGGGAGAGCGACCCCACGGCTGGGCTGCAGACGGTGCACTGCACTGGGCGGTCCTGGTTTGTTCTGCAGCGGAGGGTTGTTAGCCTGCAGGGATGGCGCCSGCGTGGGCCCTGGCAGAGGACCACTCTTTTCCGCGTTGCTCCTGATTGGATTGCTAGGCAGCCAGGCTGTAGTTTTCCTCCTGCAATCAGGATTCAGCTCTCCACATCCATCCTGCCGGGGACCTCGCCTTCCAGGCCCTGGGGGGGGGGGGAGGGAGTGCTGACGGATGCTCCTGTGTATCAGGAGGACTTCAGCCATGTCATTAGTGGTGACCCAGGTGGCCACGCAGGAAGACATACGAGGGGACCGTGGCACCAAAGAAGCTGGGCCTAGTGACAGACCGCTAGTTCCCGGCACCAGCTCTAGCGATGTCCTTGGCTGCATGGCAGGAAAATAGAGAGGTCAGTTCTTTCCATCAAGGTCCATCTCCTTGGCACATGTATCTGCTGATGCATTTAATCTGAGAGATGACTCTGGAARGGCGGCACACAGGTTTCCTCTGGAAGCTCCAATCTGCCGATGGAGAGGTGGCAGTAAGGGAAGAGTCGGCTCTGAGGGATGCTGTGTGGACTCCCCAGGGCAGGGAGGAGTGGCTGTGAAGGGGTATGCCTTGCCGAGGGGCTCCACCACCCGGAGCCAGGCACAGACATTCCAAGAGCACATTTCAGCAGCCATTATTTCCACAGCTGCCTGTGGCCACCTTCTGTCAAGCGCGTCTGCACTGCCAGGCCCTGTGCTTGGGAGGAGATCAGGACTGGGTTGCACCAGACAATTCCCCTCTAAAGGCAGGTGGTGTGAACAGGGAAAGGGGAACTCCGGATGAGTCTGGAAGCAGCAATGGAGAGTGAAGTTTCAGAGTTCTGAGTGGATGTTTCTGCAAGCTTGAAGTGCTGTCTTGAGAATACACAGGGAGAGAAATTTAAGAGGTTTCTGCTAATGAGACATGCAACCAGCTAAATAATTAACTGGTGGAAAAAGAGCAGCAGTCGTGGGGGGGCTGTGCCCGCGGCGGGGGGTGGGTGGTAACATGCCCTGGGGTTTCCCAGGTGTGCACAAGGCTTCGGGAGCCCAGCACCTCAGCAGAGGGCATTGTGGTCCTTAGAAACAAGTCAGGACCCCAGAGAGAGGGACCGTCTTCTCTGGGCTAGAAACTGGGAAGGTGTTTTAAAGAGCTAAGTCGCACTTACAGGAGGAGAGAGCGTGCCAGATGCATACTGGAGGGACTGGAACTGGAAGCACATAGTTCCCTTCTTGGTCCAGAGAAGACACAGTCTTCAATGTTGTCCACAGGGTCACTTGGGAGCTGCCACTTGACGGAGACATAACTTAAAGCCACAGGTCCAGGTGGCCCTGAGCACAGAGGCCCCTGTAAGAGCTCCCAGGTTGCAGGGCCTGGCCTGTGTGGCTGCGTTCTTGCTGTGGAGGTGACCTCAGAGCTCTTTAATCCACTGTAGACAGCACAGCCCATGCCCTCTTCCCTGGGCCCTCCCCCATTCTGCAGCTAGCCAGCTTTCTGTGGGCAAGGATGGGCAGCTGGGAGAGTCCACAGCCTGTCTCAGTGTCCTTTCAGCCTCCTCTCTGCCCTCCTCAGGGTGACTCCAATTTGTCACAGAGCTCCCGTGCCGCTGGGCGTTTCTGTGGGCCCTCTCTGGCCCCTGCTGGCACCCAGCAGCCTCCTGCCCCAGGGCAGGGTTGTGGACTGCACTACTTTGCAGAGACCCTCACTAAGCCTGAACAGCTGTAGACCTCCAGCTGTGACCTGGCTGCAGCCTCAGTTCTTCCTAATGGCAGCTACTGGGGAGCTCACTGGGCCAGATAAGTGGCCCGTCCATGGAGAGACGCGTGCCCACCAGCGCTGGGTGGAGCCGCCTGCTCTGCTCTAGGAGGCCTGGGGCAGGGCGAGCCTGGCTTTGTAAGCAGCAGCAGCTGCCCAACTATGAGTGCCCTCTCTTTTCAGCCGGTGCCTTCCTCTGCACACCTGGGTGATCCGTGGACCTGGGATTTTCAGGTGTTAACTGAGGGATGGTTGTGGTCCACCCTATCTAGAACAGCTCTGTACTGTCACAGCAGGGCTCTGTGAGGAGCATGTGTGCAGGGACAGTCCCTTCACTGTGAGTCACAAGCTGTGGCGACAAGCAGCATCACTAGGACCCACCTTAAAAGTGACATTAAGGTTGGGGTCACTGCCAATGTTAAATGACTCCGTGTCACATTGCTGCTTCACTCCCCTGGGGTCAGGGACATGACAGCTTTCTTCAAACACCCCCTATTTATTTATTTATCTTTGAGAACCCCCTATTTAAATCAGGAGCAGCCTGAAGTGCCCAGGTCACGCACAGGACTCATCAGTGAGGCCTTGGGGAAGCTCAAACTCGTGGTCCCACCTCTGGGCCTCCTGGCTCAGAAGGCTGGGGAGGCACCTGGGCACCTCTGCTGTCTAGAACAGCCTGGAGTGGCTCCTACCTGCTGAGGGTGACCCTACCTGGTGACCTTACAGCAACACGGGAAGAGGGTGGCTGGAAGGGACGAGTGACCAGTCGCCAAACACCAGCTCACCCCCTTTGTAACTTGGCCCTGCCTGTTGGGGGCTCCATCCTGTCGTTGGCTCACTGTCCCAAGGCGTTCACGGTGCCCTGTGCTTACTGCACGGGGGAGGGTTTATTCTGGGCCTCTCCCAGGGGTTGACGGTGCTTGTCCTCTTGTCCCCTCTGCCAAGAGTCAGGTGGACACCCCTGCAACTAGAAGAGGGTCTAAACACTGGGCCTGTGAGTTTGGAGTCCCCAGCTCAGGGCTGCACACTGCAGGACAAGAAGCAGGTGGTGTGGCTGGGGACCCGTGACCCTTTGTCATGGACCTCAGGCCCAATTTCAGTTACAGCCTCTACTCAGCTAACTAAACATGTTGCTATTTGGGAAGGGGTAGGCACCAGCATCCCGTCACTCTTGCCCATTGCTTTGGGTGGAGATCCACAATGCCAGAAGCTCAAGCCACCATGCTTTCAATGTGGCCGTCCCTGGAAAACTGTAGACGTGCGGGGCTTGTCTCAGGGACAGCATGGTAAGTGATAGGCTGTGGCTGGACATTTGCCCCACAGAAGTCAGCCATGGTGGCCCAAAGCCAGATGGGCAGGGTGGCTGGTGTAGGTCAGGGCCACCGACGATGCTGGGTGAGGACAGTGGGACAAGGCACAGGTTCCCAGGGTGCCTGGCCCTCAGGCTTCCTAAGGCTCCCTCCCTGCTACCCCTGTTTCCTTCCGGGTCTGCCCTGAATGTAGGAAGTTTTATTTGAGGGATGGGCTGACCTTATTCCTGCCATGATCAGGTAGAAACCAGGGACATGTTTTCCTGGATGCTGGATGTCCGACCTCCCAAAGATGGCTTGGTCCACAGAGCTGAGTATGTGTGCATGTGTGCACGTGCACCCTGGCACCTCTCCATCCCTGTGGTGCGTGGTGCTCTGCCCATGTGGGTGCCCTGGCACCTCTCCATCCCTGTAGCATATGGCTTGGCACCATCTCAATACAGCAGAGGCATTTGGGGAATTTATTAAAGTGCAAATTCTTGGGGCTCTTGCAGACTTTGTGGGCATTTTCTCTGGACAACATTCTTCATCATGTTCTGGCATTTTAAATCCTGTTCCCCTGGGATCTACTTTGAGGAAAATATTTTCATAGACATGGGTAGCATCATTTCTAAGGGAGAGGACTCTCTGAATTCTTGGGATTTTCTTAGAACAATGCATTTGGAATCACTGGGCCTCACGTGTCCATAGCACCAAGCTTGCTCCAAAGCACAAAGAAGTTTGAGATGCTTTCGGGAGTGCAGGGAACCAGACCAAGTGCAAGGTCATGACACTGAAATGCTTCCGCTTCCACAAGTCTGTGCCCTTGTTAAACCTTCTGTGGATCCTGAGGCACACTGTACCCAAAGTGGGTAAAAACAACGGGGTTTTAGGCTATAGAGACCTCAGGCCATGCATTAAATTCTAGGAAGGGTCAGAAGGGAAATAGAGATGGATTTCAAAACAGATACCAAACCACGACATGGCTTTATGACTGCTTCTCTCTGGCGGAATCCACCGTTGGGAGGTCCAGACCCGACCAACACTCTTCTCTAGACAGGACTTTCTGCTGCTGAAGTGGAGTGGCCCACATCACTGTGGCTGAAATGTGTTAGGACAAAGATGGTGAAAAAATTTGAAATTTTTAATAAAACTTGCTGTTAACAGGAAAGGCAAGTTCTCTTCATCTTGACATGAAGCCATGGGGTGTGGAAATGTTTTGCATCTTGATGAGGTTTTAAAACAGGTGCCCATCTTCTCCTCTCCCCTTTCTCTGCCTCCATTCCTGATCTGTTAATTCTTCCGGTTATATTAGATGTTTTTTCTCTTTCTCTGTCATTTTGGAGGGTGACATGTAATTGTCTCAAAGCTTAGATCAAGCCTTCCCCTCAATCCCTCCTTCTGTTGAGATAAATAAATAAACTGGTGATACATTTGTTTTTTAATTAATTTTTAAAATTTACACATGATAGTGGAATGCATTACAATTCTTATTACACATATAGAGCACAATTTTTCATATCTTGGTTGTATACAAAGTATATTCACACACCAATTCGTGTCTTCATACAGGTACTTTGGATAATGATGTCTATCACATTCTACCATCCTTGCTAATCCCCTGCTCCCTCCCTTCCCCTCCCACCCCTCTGCCCTATCTAGAGTTATCTATTCCTCCTATGCTGTCTCTCCCTACCCCACGATGAATCAGCCTCCTTATATCAGAGAAAACATTCAGCATTTGTTTTTTGGGGATTGGCTAACTTCACTAACATTATCTTCTCTAACTCCATCCATTTACCTGCAAATGCCATGATTTTATTCCCTTTTATTGCTGAGTAATAGTCCATTGTGTGTATAAGCTACATCTTTTTTTTTATCCATTCATCTATTGAAGGCCATCTAGGTTGGTTCCACAGTTTAGCTATTGTGAATTGTGCTGCTATAAACATTGATGTGGTTGTGTCCCTGTAGTATGCTGTTTTTAAGTACTTTGGGTATAGTCCGAGGAGTGGGATAGCTGGTTCAAATGGTGGTTCCATTCCAAGTTTTCTAAGGAATCTCCATATTGCTTTCCATATTGTCTGCACCAATTTGCAGTCCCACCAGCAGTGTGTGAGTGTGCCTTTCCCCCCCACATCCTTGCCAACACTTACTGTTGTTTGTCTTCATAATAGCTGCCATTCTGACTGGAGTGARATGATATCTTAGAGTGGTTTGGATTTGCATTTCTCTAATTGCTAGTGATGATGAGCATCTTTTCATATATTTGTTGATTGGTTGTATACCCTCTTCTGAGAAGTCTCTACATTTAGAAAACAGCAACACATCTATGCAGCCAGCAGTGGAGACAAAGGCCATAGACCGTAAACATCTCAGCGTGTTCTCAGCTGAAGGCGCCATCCTGAGAGCTCTGCTGAAAGAGTCCCGTCCGCTCCCATGTTCCTCCTGCTGTTGGGGGTCCATCCACTAAAGCCAGGAGCCAGAGTGGCTGCAGGCTCAGGACTCACTCACATCCCACTGCAGCCTGAATAATTTATCCTGCCCAGCTACATTATTTAAGATGTTCAATGCAGCTACCGAGCCTTGGAATCTGAGCCAGCATCCCCCGGCTGGCAGGGGAAACACTCGGCAGTGCATTTTTATAGGGCGATCCTACCAGGCACAGGCCCCCATCGGCAGGATTCCACCATTTGTTTGTGAGTGTTTCTGAATATGAATAGCAAAGAGGGGGCTCCTTCCTGATAGGAGCCAGTGACACCCACTGCCAAGGGAGACAGATGGGGGAACCTATTTAGAGTCAGTTCAATCTTGTCCCCTCTCTTTTAGAAGGGATGTATGTTATTTGAAGAAGTTTAGAAATATTTTGTGTGTTCATAAAAAAGCCATCTGGTAAAGCAGGAACTTCTATAGGAAGATGGAAAAATAAAACAAACCAGGCAATCTTTGCATTTGTAATTTACCTTCCACTGAATGAATCTTGGATTTSGGGATTGCTCTTGGACCCTGGACTTGGAAGCTCCCTAGAGTGTGTGTTGTGGAGAATAACGGAGTCAAGGAAGAGCACGTTTCCACACCGTGTTCCCCTCTGCAGCCTAATGCCATCTCCTCGGGGGGGCGGCGGTTCCTTCTCAAGGTTCCATTCACAGTGAACTCAACCGATTAAATCCATTCTTTTTCCTCTGTTGCCAGGAACCCAGAAAACAACAGCCGGCCCCAGCAAGCCGTCCACAGGTCTCTTTTAATATTGCCAGTCCTCAGAAGGTCAGGAGCGCGACTTTAGTATAGCGAAGGCTTCTCTGGGGACCTGTTTTGTACCTGCTGACAAGTGACGTCACGGGGCCTCCATCCATCTGCCAGCATCACCTGGCCCCGTCGGACAGTTGGAGCGGGTACCTTATGGTGGCAGGAGCAGTCTGTTTTCCCAGAGGCCATGGAGAATGTGGCTTCTGAAATGTTTCATGGTTTTATCGAATGCCTGAAAGTTTCCAAGCAAAACCCTCAATGTATCATGTTAATATTTATTGTCACTCCCACTTGCTCATCTAATAAATGGCACTGGACTCTATTCTACCACAACATTTTTTTGTTTTGTTTATCTAGAATTTTTAATAAGATCTAAAGATTACAATAATACATTATTTATAATTCAGAAGGTACCACAACTTTTAAAATATTTTTATTGTTCATAAGATGGTATTTATGTGTGTTTAGCAGGCAATTATTGCAAATGATCAGAGAAGTAAGAAGAGAATGACTAGGATCACTCAGAACTCTGAATCCACTGGCACACTRGAGCTCAATAGGTTTGAAAGTCTCAGGGTTGAATGTTACAAGACCGCGGTCCTGTCTGTCTGCTCCCTGAAGACTCCTCCCACTCCTCCAGTGAGTCACATGTGGATTCTGCCTGTTGGGGGCAAAGCTCACACATGCAACCATCACGGAAGTGATTACGTGTTCTTTAATAAACGAAAAAGAAAATACCAGTATATTGTATTGCCTTTCTTGAAGCTTTACTATTTGGGTGCTGTTTTAAAGAGTCACATAGTTAGAAATTAAGCTTTTCCAAGAAGGAACACAGGGACTTTTGGAAAGAGTTCTCATCTTCACGCTTGCCCTTTGCTTCYGTGTCTTTGTCCCACTCAAAGTCAACGGGAATGTTGTGACTAGAAATGGAGGGTCTGCCTTTCCCAGAGGTCCCTTTCCCTCCGGGGTGTTCAGTGAATGTCACCGCCCGCTCGGCCTCTTCAGATGTAACCTAGAGGCAGGACTACTGTTTTCCTGAGCTCTGAACTGGCCGGTACAGATTTCCATGCCAGTTGGCCATTAGCCACTGCTCGGAGGCTCCCATACCCCCAAATGTTAGTGCTAAAGTAGAACTTGACTTCTTAGGTACGTCATGATTTTAGCAAGTTCCTCCAAGTTGCTAAAAGATGCAAATTCATCATGATGAGGTTTCTCATCACGCAACACTCTGCTTGTTAATCCTGTAATTGGCTGACAAGTATGACACCCTCATGATTTATTAAGTACTTTTATGATCTTAACTCACATTCAGCTCCTACTCTGGACCTTCTTCCATGAGCCAGCGATTAGCCCAACTATTCCCTAGCACTATGGCAGGTTTGTGTTCTGATTGGCTRTTGCTTGTACAGGATTCATTTTGATTGGCTGGTGTCCATATAGGCTCCATTCTGATTGGCTGGTGTCCATACAGGGTCCATTCTGATTGATCAGTTCCYGTACAGTATCTATGCTGATTGGGTGATGTTAGTACCTTACTAATTGTCAGATATCTTTTTTAAATATTACCATAGCTTAGAGGATTCTGGAAAAACGTCATCTCTTCCAATACTGACCCAAAGTGGGAGAATTGGCTGCCTATTTTTAAAAACTTTTTTTKGGTATACATTATAATTACACATAATAGTGGAATTTGTTACATATTTGCACATGCACACAATATGTCTATTTTTTTGAGAGTAGAACTAGAATGCAAACTCTCAAATATCCTTGAATATTGCTCTAGCATGTTCCTAAGAACCCTTTCTATGGAAAAACTTCTGATTTAATTGCTTAAAAATGGTGCTCCTGTGTATTATACTGATTTATTTACTCCTTGCTGGTRTGGTTGGGTCTCTCCCTACCATTCTTGAATGGGTTCAGGAGAAGAGAAAGACGAAAAGGTCTTGAGACCCTTTCTGCAGAGCTAGTGAGTGAACTTGGTATTCATCACCTAATAGTTACCCTCCCTAAGCCATCCTAGGATCCAGACCCAGAGACAAAACAAGTCCCCCGTGCTTTGTGGCTTTTGAAGCTTCTGCAGCACCTACTACGGAACACTGCTACACACAGTGTTCTGTAACTAGGACACCAACAGGTCAGTACTGAGAAGGGCAGTATCTTGACCATAGTGAGCATCTCCCACCAGCCTGCGAATCACATTTCTGTGGCTGTTTTAGGAATCAGAGAGGTTGCGCCCAAGAATACAATCGAACTTCAGGCTCTGACCTCAGGAGGACSATGCCCAGTGGTTTGTGTGGCCGTTGTTCCAACGTTGAGCTTGTTTGTTGTCTTGTTCTCATAGTATCTTCCAGTTTCTCAGATTGTGGGAGCTGTGTTAGTATCACTGCTCTTTCTTGAAGATGTTTTGTTCCCCTGAAATCATGCAGGARCTTAATCCCCAGGTTCTTACATTAAAGGTATAAAGAGGGTGAAAACTTCATTCCTACATAATGTCTAGAAGTAAGGCCTTTGTGTTGTAATTAGATCAGATGAGGTCATTAGAACGGAGTCTCCATGATTGAATCTTGGTGGCTAAGAAGAGGGAAATAGTCCACACAGACACACATGTACTCCTTCCACGACATGATGCAGCCAAGGACGACCTTGGCCAGAGATTGTGCCATGCTGTTTGGATTTCTATCCTCCCAAACTGTGAGCAAATAAACCTGTTTTCTTTATAAAATAACTAGCTACATGTACTTTATTATAACATCAACAATGATAAAACAACAAAAACCAGATTAGTACAGTCCCCAGGAGCACATTCTTACTCTATCTTTTTATCCCAAGAGTGGAGTTTCTCAAAGGAGTCCCCTGGCTAGTTTTTATTTCACAAGAGATAGATATATTATTTGAATAGAACTCTCTAAAACCATATCAAAGCCACAAGGGACTATTTGAGTTTAAATTATTTAGACTAAATAAAATATACGATCCATTTTCTAAGTTGCATTAGCCACGTTTCAAGTGCTCAATAACCACATGTGGCCAGGGGGCACTGGTTGAACAGTGGAGATGATAGGTTTCTAGTGTTTCTGAGAGTTCTGCTGCAGTTCTGACCTGGAGACACCACCTTGGGAGTGACCTTGATGTGTCAAGGACGGCTCAGCTACACAAACACACAATCTGTGTTTTCTTCAGCATTATGACSGCACTCGCCAGTTTCTATTTAGGAATCCTGCAAACCCCAGGACAGCTCTCAACTGAAATTGGTGTTCTGCTGATGTGGTAAAATCATCTCTCACTTTGCAAAACTGAGAGCTGGGGCAGGCTCAGGGGGCTGAGGTGACTCAGTCACAGCAGAATGTTATGGTCAAGGTTGTTTCTCAGAAAGATTGATGAGGGCCACTCCTAACAAATGGCTGATGAGGCTCAACAYTTATTTAAATGTCCCTCAAACCCAGTCATAAATTGTAGCCAGGGAAGCCACCCCATCTGTCCTCCTGGCTAGTCGGCCAGATTCCCAATCTTTCCCACAAGTGAGGATCGTCTAGGGTTTATTTAGAGTAGAACTCAAGTCCATGTCAATATGCTGCAGGTAAGTGGGAACCTTGGAGCCAAGTCCTTACCCCTTGGGCCTCCTGGCCTTGGAATGCTGTCATGGGCAGTGTGTGGTTTAGATKCGAGGTGTCCCCTGAAAGCCCTGTGTTAACGCAGGAATGTTCAGAGGGGAAGGGACTGGACTGTGAGGGCTGTGACCCAGTCAGTCCACGYTAGTTTGAATGGACTGACCGGGTGGTAGCTGTAGGCAGTGGGTGTGGAGGGGCGGTTGCTGGGGAGGTCCTGGAGGGTGCATCTCCCTGTGACCCCTTCCCCGCCTCTGCTCCCTGACCTCCATGAGGGGAGCAGCACTCTGCTGTCACGCCCTTGCTCCACGATGTTCCCTCACCTCAGACCAGAGCAAAGGAGCTGGCTCACTGTGGACCAGACCTCTCRCACCATGAGCCCAAATACCCAGTCCCTCTTCTAAGCTGTCCTTTTTGGGTATTTTGGTCACAGCAAGGAAAAGTGGGCTCATRCAGGCAGGAAGACCGGCTGCATGTTTCTAGGGGTTGGATGGCATAAAAGGTGCGTGGTGGTCGTGGGGCACAGGGACATGCTCCAGTTTAGATGCCTATGACATCTTGGGGACCGAGTCCATCCTGTGAAAAGATGGAGAGCATGCTCTCCGTGACCCAGGTGAGAACTTGGAGAACCCCAAGTGGGGAAGAAGATGAGAACAAGATGGTGAGCAAGGGTCCAGGGAAGCAAGGCCCAGAGAAGCAAGGCCCAGGTGAGCAGGACCCAGGTGGGCAAGGATCCAGGTGAGCAAAAGCTCAGGGAAGCAAGGACCCAGGGAATTAGAGTCCAGTTAAGTTGACCCAGGTAAGCAAAGGTCCAGGTCAGCAAGGACCCAGGTCAGCAAGGTCCCATTAAGCAAGGAGCCAGCTGGCAGGGCCCAGGACAAGGTGCACTGCAAGGACAGTGGAGACAAGGCTGATGCACAACACTGCAGCAGTATCGTAGGTGGAAAAGCTGTTGCCACCCTCAGGCTGACAGGGCGGGCAGAGGTTGGACCCCTATGGAGCAGACTCCCAGCCGTTGCTAAGTAGGGACACGGCCAAGTCTTGGAGACCTCGCAGGGAGGGAGCCAGAGTGCGTGGGCTCCAGCCTCCCAGCCTCTCCTCTCAGTCTCCGGCTAGTGCCTCCCGCTGACCAGACCTGACCAGAAGCCAGGCGCCCCCAGARTCCGCTGATGTGGCCTGCAGGGATCAGTCCTGGAGAGCAGCTAGCGGATGAAGGGTGGACAATGGATGTGGAGGGGCAGGCAGGACATTAGGAAGCAGGTTTCTGGGCAAGGAGGGCGTGTTTGCGGGTCAGAGGGGAAGACGTTCCGCCTGGTGGCGGTCCCCCACTTCCCTGCCTGATGGGTGGGGCCACCTACACAGAGAGGACATTATTGGGGGGAGGAATTGGGCTGCCTTGAGCTTGAGCCGCTCAGAGCTTTGGTGCCCATTTCCAAATCAATAGGACGTGGGGTCCAAATGGCGGACCGCTGAGGTCTCTGCAGAGCTGCTCATGCGTGTGTCTGTGCATAACCTGCCTGTGCCCTCACCAGTGTGGCCAGTGCTCAGGACTGCGCTGCTCCATCTGCGGATGTGTGGCCACCCTCAGGCCTGCAGCATGGAGGGAGCTGTATTTTTGCAGATGGTAAATATTTAATTCTCACCCGGCACA